AGGTATTGATGTTATGTTCCATTAAGATGGCTAGTGACAAGAGCCTGAGCAAGTTATATAAGGTATGTAGGTCAGAGTTCAATATACTGATGTCAGACCTTGGCTTAAATCAATGGCTACTGGTCTATTCTCTGTAATAGTTACAAGAACTGTCTTAAAGAACAAAAATGTATGTATGTAATTAAAGTTTAAGTGCTTGGATTTCACACAAGAGTTATCTAATATTACACAGTTGTTACAGAAGCAGATACCTTCTGGGTGTTCAATAACCACATTCAGAGGCTATGCTAAGGTGGTCAGAGGGATGAGACGGCAGAATCTTTCCATTTTTCTCTCCAAAGTCAATTAGGTTTTGGGGGACTGTAAGGCATCTCTCAAATGTTAGCTGTGGGGAGTCTCTTATTCTTTTGTTCAGGGCCATGGATACCCCACATGGTGAGCTCTACCCAGTGTCCAGTCTACAAAGCAGACCGTCAATACAGAAGAAAAATGTGCTCCATGTTTCCAAGCAAAGCCCAGGTCAAGCAAAGCCTTTGACTTGTCACACTGATGGAAAATCTGGTACAAGGAGTCTAGAGGAGCCAACGGTTCTCAAGTCTGTGACCCCTGAGGACCAAATATGCAAATGACCTCAACAGTGAAACAAACAAAAAACATGATTATGGTCACATGTATGGCCTTGAACACCCAGCAGGAAAGTATAGCTAAACAGTTTAAGGCAGTGGTTCTCAACCTCTAGGTTGCAACCATTTGAAAACATGTCTGGTGGTCTTAGGCACTGAGACAACTCTCAGTAGCAAAATCACAGTTATGAAATAGTGATGAAAATAAATTTATGGTTGGGCGGTTCCTAAGATCATTGGGAATGTGTTTCCTGGTGTTTGAGAGCCAGAGGTTGAAACCGCTGGTTTAAGGGCATCATATTCTCTGCATATTAGGCTTAGACCCATATGAGTTGTTTACACTGTTTCTAACAATTTTTTTTATTACATACAGTGTTCTGCCTACTACCAGAAGAGGGCACCAGACTGAATTGTAGATGGTTGTGAGCGACCATGTGGTTGCTGGGAATTGAACTCAGAACCTCTGGAAGAGCAGTCAGTGCTCTTAAACTCTGAGCCATCTCTCCAGCCCCCATGTATCTAACAATTTATTTTTTATTTCTTTTGGTTTTTTTGAGATAGGGCTTCTCTGTGTTGTTTTAGAGCCTGTCCTGGAACTCCCTCTGTAGACCAGGCTGGCCTTGAACTCACAGAGATCCTCCTGCCTCTGCCTCCCGAGTGCTGGGATTAAAGGTGTGCGCCACCAACGCCCGGCTGTTTCTAACATTTTTTAACTGAGAAAAACGCTGCCATGATAGGGCGCCAAGCCCTTGCCTGAAGTTCTCCTTTCTACAGGAGAAACAGTTAGCTGTAACTGAACCCTACGAAGTAAACAAACTCCAGGTGATGTGGTGCTCCGTCAGTGGTATGGCATGTCAGTGGTATGGCCTAGCAACGAGAACATTCTGAATCCTGTAAACTAAGGCAGTTCAGTTCTGCTAGAGTGGTGCACAGAGGCAATGTGAAGGGACAGTGAGCCCCCTAAAGGAAGGAGGGAACAGACTCCCCAGTAACCTTCCAGCCCTCAGCATATCCTACTTGGCAGAGGCCATACTCACAAACCAGGTTATAGGAAACAGCACTCATAGTTGTTGCTAGTGGTGGGTGTTTCTGTGTGATCCAGGGCCTCACCAGGCAAGTGTGAGTCTCCAAGTCAAACCCTAAGCCCAGAATTTGGCTGAGGTGGGCATTTCTTCACTACTAGAAACTCAGGAATGTGTCAGTGAAGTATTCCAGGGGTTTAAAAGGAGGGTACAAAGCTGGCTGTATGTAGGAGAATGTATTTGATTTTTTTTTTGAGACACCCAGGCTGTCCCAGAACACCACCTACCTCTACCTCTAGAGATTAAAAACATGTACCACCTCCCCTCCTCCAGCCTTGTATTTGAATTTTTTTGAGACAGGTTTCACAAAACTACGTAGCCCAGGCTAGCCCCCAACTCCCCTTCCTCTTGCCCTAGCCTCCTCACTGGTATATTGTCAAATCTGTCTTGGGGAAATGGTTTTATCAGATCGAGTGTGGCTAGATTTCTGACGGAGGACTGACCCTAAATGCTCAAGAGATCCTCCTGCCTCAGTCTCCTTCTGTTTCATCTACAAGTACATCACAATGCCCAGAAAAATGTAATTTTTAACAATGAGGTCTGTGCCAAGGGGCAGGAGAAGGAAGGAGAGCAACAGGAGCGTGAAGATTCTGGTGAGGAGGTCAATAAAACCTCAGTGGACACACTAAGAATCACTACTGATTAAAGTGGACACTAGGGGGCAGCCTTTCAGGCTTAGCACAGGGTTTATGTATGCTAGGTTACAGGTTTACCACCACCAGAAGAGAAAAATCTGTGGAAAGTGATAACTGTGATTTGGTGCCAGAGTCCATCTGCTTGTCTGACACAGACAGAACCCCCACCCCCACTCTAGGGTCAGGCTATATCTGAAAGCAACAAATGGCCCAAGGTCACCAGCATTTCATGTCCCATCTTTCCCAATACTGTGATTAAGAAAAAGATCCCCACTAGGGCAGCTATTCTTGGGTTAGGCTGACGGCAACCCTGCCTCTAAGTACCAAGAGGTCCAATGAACACAGAATATCCGCACACAGCCAAAGTCTGCAAGGAAAAAAAAAGACAGGGCAGCTGTTCTTTGTTCCTGTTAAGTTTTATTGGCATCACGTTCGTCTCTTTACAGAAGAACTCGGCCTACACCCTAGAATGTAGACTTCTGGAGGGGAAGTGCTCCGGGAAGCAAGCCATGATGCAGGGCAGGACCTCGGGAGGGGACACAACCCAAGAGGTGGGTGAGTTAGTGCTGGGCCACGCCTGGGTGAAGTGGGGAAAGGAGGGGTCTGCTACCTACAGGTACCACAGCCCTGAAAGGAGCGCCTTCTAGAACAAAGGTAGAGTCACCAGGACAGGTCAGGTGGGGTCTCCTTTCCTCTTAGAGTAGGATATTGATCTAAAGGGCATAGTAAAGTGTTGAACACAAGGAAAAAAACAGAAAAGGGAAAAATGAGAATTTAATCTTTGAAATAACAGCAATTTATCCATTGTACACACTACTGTATTATGCAAATCAACCTTTTGGAAAATTTAGACACAGAAGCGAATTGTCTAGTTCAGTTATCCCTCTGGAGAGATGAAAAGCTTTTTGGCTCGTAAGTCTTTGATAAAAGGCGTACATAATTCTTGTGTCTACTGTACAGAATACTGCTGCTAGCTGGACTTTCAAATTTGAGTCTCTAACACTCTTGTAATCCAGACAGGGTTCAACCCTCCACCTTGCACGCCTGCATTAGAGGACTTAAACACACAATCCAGGAATTCCTTACACTAATTTATACATTTTAATTGGTTGCATATATTAACATGTACTATAAGATTCTTTTCTAAGAAGCATTACATAATAAATGGATACTGTAAAAAGATCTGATTAGTTAAAAGTAACAAGCATTAACAGATACATACAAAACAGCCTGTTCAGAATGGAGGGGGGGGCACCAGCCTTCCCACAGGACCTTCAAGGAGGGGTAGGGGTAAAAGACCACAAGACCGTTAAAAAAAAATCAGATACTTAGACACAGATGAACTGTGAACAGTTCTCTCACTGTCCAGTGAACAAAAAGAGTAAGCGTTCCATGCCCACTGCACCCCAGAGCACCCAGGGTCTCTGCCATATGCCATACACAGAGCTCATGGTGGGTAACTGCCCCAAGAGCCTGTCAGGCACAGGCTAGAGTTTGCTTGCTGTGTGTGTGTGTGTGTGTGTGTGTGTGTGTGTGGTGTGTGGTGTGTGGTGTGGTGTGGTGTGTGTGTGTGTGCGTACACGCACATGTGGTGGATAACTGGTGTGTTTCTTTTGGCAGCTGGATGTGAGAGATCACGTTCTGTTCTGTTTAGAGGAGGAGGGACGCATATTGAAGGCCTACGTGTGTTCTTGGTCTGTGAAGGACTCTGTGCTCTGTGCTCACTGCCCCTTCAACAACTGCAGCTCTCTGCAGAGGCCTTCACCCGGTCATTCTTGTCCAGTTTGATGGGTTCAGGGAATTCATTGTACAGCTCCACTTCTGTTTCCTGGTCAGAGGAAAGAGAGAGAGGGTGATGACCTGGGACACAGGGACATTCCAGTCTTCAGCTTGGCCTAGGGACAGACTTGCCCTCTGCCTGCACACAGAAGAGTGGCAGACTAAGGAGGTTTGGTCAGCAGGAGCCATCTCCACAGCAGCATCCTGAGGCTGACTGAGCACAGGGTGCACACCCAGCTCCAGTGCTTTCTGTGGCCCCAGCACTGCCAGTCCTCACCCGTCAGCTCAGCCCTGCTCCCCATGCTACCACGTCCCACTGAGTTCTCTGGACTATTGTCCAGGAGCAGTCCTTCTTCCCAAGGCTCGTTTCCCACATGTTGTGGCCTGAGGGGCAGAGTGGTGGTTAATGTCATCACCTGTGCTGCCTGAGCAGCTAAGATGGGCTCCAGTCACTTCCTGGACTGACACTTGAACCGAGCGCCCACACACCAAGCCTTGGGGCTTACCCCTTAGCACTGTATCCAAGAAGGAAAGTTTCCTAAGCAGTACTGTTTTTATTTTATTCATTAAGTTACAAAAATGTGAAATATCTGTGAATACATGGTGAACACAGTAGGAGCTTTACTAGGGTCTAACATATCAAGTGTGTAACATAGTATTCTTAGTGTACTTACAAAGCTGGGCCACCATCCCATCAGTTCTGAACACTCATCACCCCAAAAGAAACTCTGTGCCACTTAGCAGCCATCTTTACAAATGTAGGAGTGGAAGCCAGGGCTTCATATACGTTAAGGAGGCACTCTGCCTATGAGCCATGCTTCACCCTAGACCTGTCTCCTTTCTGTTGCTATACATAGGGCTTTCCCTATCTTCCTCTGTAGCTTAGCCTGGCCCTGGATTTGTGGGCAATCTTCCTGCTTCTACAAGGAGAGCAAGCAAGCATACCATACCCCGCTTGTTGACACAGGCTTCATTTCAGCCTCTGTGCTAGAGCCTTGCTTCACTCCACTGCTCCTGTGGCTGAATGGCATCCATCTGCAGTAGATGAACCACCTTTTGCTTGGACACTCATCAGCCAGTGAACATTTGTGTTGTTTTGACTTTGGTTATTATAGGCAACAATAAATTTATAAATCATACTCCTGTCAGTACTGATATGTACATTTAACACAAAAAGCGGAGCATGAATAACAGCCTTGGACAGAACTGGTATCAGCCCAAAGTGTATATGCGGAAGCCCTAACCTCCAGTGTGCCTATGCCTGGAGTACACAGATTAGACACGGTTATCTATGGCATCTGATTTCACAGGACTTTTGTGTTTCTTTTTCAGATGGGGTCTCCTCATATGTATCTCAGGCTGGCATTGAACTCACTATGTATCAGAACTTGAACTCCTAGATCCTCCTGCCTCTACCCGGTGCTGGGATTACAAGGCATGTATTACCATGCAGGTTTATGTCATACTGAAGCTAGATCCCAGGGTCTCATGAACACCAGGAGAGCCCTCTATACCCACTGAGCTCGAGCTCCAGAGCTCAGAGCTGTTGCTACTGAGACAGCCCACAGGGTTTATCACACTTGCTCTCTTAGCAAAGCAGCCCTGTTTGGACACAGCCAAGAAGACAGCCATCTACATGACAGGAGAATCTCAAACCCAGTGAGTCAGCACCTTGGCCCCAGACTCTAAAATTGTGACAACAAAATAAAATGTCATATGCATAAGCTGCCCAATCTATGGTATTTTGTTATGGCCCACCCAAGTAGATAATACAATTCCCACAAAAATCTCAACAAGTTTCTCTAGTTGGAAGGTAGTTACAGGTAGGCAAAACTATACACTAAAGATAGTGAAATAAAGATGGTCCAGGTAAAGCTGTGGTTCTCAACTTGTGGGCTGGGAGCTGGGATCCCTTTTGGAGTCGGGCATCAGATATTTACAATTCATGAAACAGCAATGAAATATTTTTATGGTTAGGGTCACCACAACATGAGGAGTTGAATAAAGGGTTGTAGCATTAAGATGGTTGAGAACCACTGAGGTAAAGGAACCCAGGCATGGCCAAGACAGTCAGGAATTCTGGAAGAAGAGCACTGGTCACACTTCAAGGGAACAACAGCTACTTCCCACACTCACTCCTGCTGGGAATGTGGGTTCTCGGAAGGGAAAGGACCAAAGCTGAGTTATACCCAGGCCTTTAAAATGTATCTGACAGAAAGATGACTTTTTCTTGTTAGACACAAGGTTGTCTACATCCCAGGGTAGCCTCAAATTTGCATTGTTGCTGAAGCTGGCCTTAAACTCCTGATCCTCCTGCCTCCGCTTCCCAAACGCTGGGAAGATAGCATGTTCTACCACATCTGGTCTCTTCTGTTTTCTGTGCAGTCCTAGACCTTTCCATCCTCCACTCCCTTACCTCAGCTCCCTAAGTGCTGAAATGTCAAGCAAGCACCACCACAGCAGCTAAGAGCCTTTTCCCCTAGGGCCAAAGGCTATCAAAAACAAGAGCTGGAGAGGAGATTAAAGGAAGTTGGAAGGTAGGCAGAGGTAGTATCTACTCCCCAAGAGTTGATAAGGTCACTCTGGGCATACTCTCGAGGACCACTTCTGAAAGGACCACACATTGGTGTAAGGACCCTTAGTGAGTCAGGGAAGTAAAAATCCCCAGGTATCCTCGTCTGGAGAATTCAAAAGGAGACCTAGGTTCCAGGAAAGACAAGATGAAATATTAAAAAGCACAACAAATCTCATGAGAATGCACAAGGGGTCAGCCAAGATTCTGTGCTGGCCATTCAAAGAGAATATCATTGTTGTGGGATATTTTGATACTTGACACTCCTGAGACTGTTCAATAAAGTTATACTTTGAATTAGGGCAGAGCCAGTGACTTACTGATTTGAGTTCTCTTGGTTCTGGGATAAGGGAAGAGATGTGTTTTTGGGGTGTATCCAGCCCAAAAGGAAGGTCAGCTAGCTGCTACTCAACCTCTCTGAGCTAGCAGGTTTTCACCCCAGCCTTTGACTTCTGAGTCTTACTGATAGAGATTCAATTTAAAACTACGGGTGGGGCACTGACAGAGGGGCCATGGGGTGGCAGACAATGATGAAAATGTCAATAGTTTCATATGTAGCTGCTAAGCTGACAGACATCAGACCACCAGTAGCCAGCCTAGGAGGAGAGGCTCAAAGGGACAGTGCTATGAAGACAGCAGTTAAGAGTTGTGGCACCACTTACAGCTGGGGAGCTTCCCTGGGTGAACCACCCAGCCTCATCCTAACAGCAGCTCAGTCTAACAGAGCCTCTAGGGGTCATCTCACAGAAAGAGGAACAGCCGGGTGGAGGAAGCCTGACGGGTGCCAGTCAACACAACAGAAATAGGAGACAATTCCATGGGTTTGAATTTTCACATGGATACATACATACATGCTAAGAAAAATCCATGGAGGGTAGACTGGAGGGTGAAGAGAGCATGTTGGGAGGGCGCTTTCTCAGCATTTGGATGAACTGCCTGGGTAGGCCTACCACCACTGTCATGAAGCACTTTTGCATTGCCCCTCTAAGCCAGGACTCCTACCTCTGGAACAATTCATTCCAAGTCTCTGTCACCCACACAGCCAGTAGTTCTGTCCTGCTGAGAACCAGTGCATTATCAACCCAGCTTCTTAGAGGTGGGAGAACCTGCCTTGACTTTCAAGCTACCACCTACCTCACGTGTCCCTGCAGACACATACTGTTTTCTATATTGTGCATGATGACACCTTGTAGCCTGCTTTAATTTTCCATGGCCCACATTAAAAAAAAAAAAACCCATACTGTGACAAGTCCCAGGATCCTCTCTAGATTGGCTACACTTCCAGCACTACTATGTTGTCCTAGCTAGCCTTGAATTTGCCATCCTGTCTCAGCTTCCTGCAATAGTTGGAATTACGGGTCTACATCAGAGGCCTAGCCTCTACACTGCCTTGGCACATGGTACCTTCTCATAGAGGAGAGTAGTTGAAAGCTCTGAGTTCCCTGACATAGTTTGCTTATATTTCTTACTTGTGTATGTACATAACTACTCTCAGGAAAGTGTCACCTCATGGTTTGAGATTGAGTCAGAGGACCATGATCACCCTTCAGCGATGGCCTTGTGTCTTGAGGCAAAGGGCAGAAGCTCAGACATGATGGCAGCTGGGATCTGATTCAAGTTCATCTCATTAACTAGAAGCATTGCTAAGCAAGAGGCCTCAGGTGGCCTGATATCTTCAAAGTCCAGGAGCAAACAAGCCCACACCTCCTTCACCAGGGTGTCTGTTTTGTTCCCCCAAGGTCTTACTATGGAACTCATTCAAGGACCAGGCTGCCCTGGAAGGCTCTGTATCTTAGGTAAGTGTTCTATCACCCAGCCATACCCCAGGTCTGCCCTGTGTCTTCTACACGACTAACAAAGCCGTGGATCTCCAAAGGACTGAGGCAGAGTATGCTGTGACCTACCCATCCAGAGAAGTACCCTGGTTTTTCCAGCTGCAGCTTGGGAAGAAAGGCATCTAGGAAAGAACACAGGCATCACCAGAGGGCGCCCTGCAGCTGCAGAGCCCTGGACCCACCTGTTTAAGGGCATTCCGAGCAATTGTCTGGAAGGCCTGCTCCACATTGATGGCTTCCTTGGCACTGGTCTCAAAGTAGGGAATGTTGTTTTTGCTGTAGCACCAAGCCTGTGCCCTCTTTGTGGCCACCTACAGGAAGGAGGACATTAGTGACGTGAACAGTGGACAATGACTCAGTCCTCTCCAGCACAAGTACACAAGTGAGAACAGATCTGGGAATGAGGATGAGTGTGGCCTATAAACCTGGAGGTCTGGTCACTCTGCTGTCCAGTCAGACCTTATGGCCCTTAGCAGTGTGCCACAGGTCAAGAGCCAATCCCAGGAGGTGGAAAGTGGCTCCACGCCCATCTCTGGTATAACCCTTTCCACTTGCTCATCTTGGGCCACCTGAAGAAATGGCAAGTGGCACAGGTTTTGCAGCGCTCACCCCTTAGAGCTCTCCTTCCCCTGCCCCAGCCAAGAAACAGACAAAATCTGGAAAGGGAAAGAGATAGTCAGAAATAAGCTGAGCTAAAATTAACAAAACCATGTTCCAACAGAAATGCTGTGTAGAATCACAGCTGAGCCAACATGACTCAAGGCCCACAGCATTCTTCCATCCTGAAGTGAGAAAACCAATTCCTTCCTTTAAGGTACAGAGAGGGAACCGAGGTCCTGAAAACAAGACAGCCCCACATCAAAGTTGGCTAGGGTCAACCCAGTGACAAGCACTCCCACTAGCACCTTCCCAGATTATTCTGAACCTGGAAGAGAGCCCTCCAAACTCCAAGGTACCAGAGGACCTGTGATGGTAAGTGTTATGTTAGCACTTACTTGTCTGTTTTCAAGGTCAATCTTGTTTCCCAACACAACAAAAGGAAAGTTCTCAGGATCCCGGGGGCTGGCCTGGATAAGAAACTCGTCTCTCCAGCTGTCAAGGGTTTTGAATGTGTTAGGGGCAGTCACATCAAACACCAGAACACAGCAATCTGCACCTCTGTAGAAGGCCACACCAAGAGACTGGAACCGTTCTTGACCAGCTGTGTCCCAGATCTGCAAGAAGCAAAACACCTAGTCTTTAGGAGGTTCTCTCTTCTCTCTCTTCTCTCTCTCTCTCTCTCTCTCTCTCCCTCTCTCTCTCTCTCTGTGTGTGTGTGTGTGTGTGTGTATGCAGGTACACACGCATGTACAGGGGGAAGAGACATGAGCCTCCTCTATCTTCTCCCAGGTATGTACACAGAACATGAAGAAGGTACAGCCTCAACACTTATGTATTCTGGGAACTTCCTAAGGGCTTGATTATTGTGCTTTATGTAAGTGTTCTATGTAGCCACACAGGCACTGAACTTGCAATTCTTCTGCCTCAGCTTCCTTGGTGTTGACATTACAAGTATGTATTACCACCAGCTTTCCTAAGGGTAGTAGAAATAAAACATTACTGACTAAAATGAATATTTCTATCAATGGATTTTGAACAATGTCAAAGTGGTATTTGTTCTTAGTTTAATACGAAAGCAAAATTAATTAAAAACCCTTACTAAAAGATCTGGAGATACAAGAACAACAGAGTAGAAGCTAGCAACTGTTCAGCACAGTTACTGTCCTACATGGCCATGTTTCACTTAGGTGCAAATGGTATATGGAACTTAAAAAAATAAAAAAGAGTAGAAAGAGGAAGAGGAGGAGAAAGGAGGAGGAAAGAGGAAAATTGAGGCATTATTCCTGGCAAGTTTCTAAATCTACCTTAGCTTCAATCTTACAAATTTCATATTTGTCAATTAATAAAGAACAAAAGAATACAACCCTATGTCAAATGGTCCTTTCCCAAATGAAATGTTTTCTCTTTTATTTCCCAAATTATACCCATATATTTTACCTATCCAATGCTTTGATATAATTTTTTATATCAGAAGAAATTTGGAGATGGAACACATGGACCCATGAATGCTAAGTACACATTCTACCATCTGATAAGTATTAATAAAGCCACTACTTATTTTACAATTTATTTTTTTAAGAGTAAACCTATGGTTGGAGATGGCTCAGCAGTTAAAAGCACTTCATGGATACTAGGGTTTGATTGCCAGCTCCTACATGTCAACTTGTAACTATCTGTAATTCCAATTCCAGGATATATGATGCCTTCTTGTGGCAGGCAGAAATGTGATGCAGAGACATGCATGCACATGAAACATTACCCCGTGACACTTTCTCCTCACTCCCCAGGAGTAAAGTGGTTCCTGAAGAAACGTCTTACAGCAATAGTACTGTCCTCTTCTCATATCCAAACTTAACAGCTAATAGTACCCCCTACCTGATTACACTGCACTCTATTCCCTGACCATCCACACTCATATGCAGGGCTGCAATGAATACTCTTGATACTTCTCTCCTCCTGCCCACACTGAGAAGAGCACCACGCCTGCCTGCCTGCCTGCCTGCCTGCTCCATCTCAACATTATTCCAATTCCCTGCAATCAGGCTTCCTGGCCACTAAGGTTTCTCTGTGACTGCCAGATAGTTGTACTCTGCCCACTTAACACAGGCTGCCTGGCAGCATGTGCTCCTGTTCAGTAATTACTTTGGTTATTTGGGAATCACATTATTTAGGTATTTGATTTAATGTGGTCGAACTCAATCTTGACCTTTTATGACTTGTTCTGGCTGCACTTTAAATGTCAAAGGTCAAAAACAGCCTCTACTTTCCATCAGAACTTTGTTTTTCGAGACAGGGTTCCTCTGTATTGTCTTGGAGCCTGTCCTGGAACTCGCTTGGTAGACCAGGCTGGCCTTGAACTCACAGAGATCCACCTGCCTCTGCCTCCCAAGTGCTGGGATAGAACATTTTTATTTTATGCTTTTCTTACCTCACTCAGATCCTGAAGCCTCTAGCTACTCTATTGAAAGTTCTGCTCCAGCCCAAGTGGGAACGCTGTCCCTCAGAGTTCCCAGCCAGGTCCTATGCCTGTGTCTCATGGGCCTTCTGTGTGTCTGTGCCAATACCACTGTTCAGCTTACCAAGACTCTGAATGCTCATGCACACCTAACTTGTAGCTTCCTCAACAGTATCAGAAAGGTAAATGGTAAAACACAGCTACCAATACTCTTCTACTGGACATTACAATGCATAATTCCAATCCTGGTTTCCTTATAGTAGGACCCAAAGTGAGCCACACCTGAGGATCCAACTAACAGCTGGCCACAACTTTAGTGGGCATTTATGGTTTCCCTCTTCATCATTATTCCCAGACATAGTCTTAAACTCCTTACATGGGATTAGGTCTTGTAATTTGGAGATTATTTAAAGTTATATGGGAGGGTATCCTGTGGTGATATACGGTTTATGATCTAATAAAGCCTGCCTGGAGATCAGAATGCAAAGCTTGCCTCAGCCATAGAAGCTGGGTGGTGGTGGCATACATCTTTAATTCCAGGACTCGAGAGATAGAGGCAGATGGATCTCTGTGAGTTCAAGGCCACCCTGGACTACATGAGAGTGTATCAGTCTAAAAGAGAAACAGAGCTCAGGCCTTTAATCCCAGCACTAGAGAGAATATAAGGAGCTCAGTGCAGTCTCAGGAGCAGTCTGAGATTTGGTGAAGAGCAGTGCTGTCTGGAGATGCAATCTGAGGTTTGGTGGATCGCCCCTTTGGTCTGAGCACTGGTAGAGGTGAGAGCGCTCTGGTGGATTGGCCGCTTTGCTTCTCTGGGTTTTTATTATTTATACTACAGTATCCTTACATTCAATGTTGACATGACAACTCAAAAATCAATTTTAATATAAAAATTATTCCTAATTAAAAATTTCATTATTTTTTTATTCTATGAGTATTTTGCCTGCGTGTATGTCTATATACCTCATGCATGCTTGGTGTCCAAAGAAGCCAGAAGAGAGTATCTGACTCCCCGGGACTAGAGTTACATGTGATTGTGAATACCACAGAGCATTTGGGGATTCAAACCTGGGTCCTCTGGAAAAGAGCCAATGCTCTTAAACATTTCACCATCTCACCAGCCCACAATGGCCTTGAATATACTCTGTAGGTGAAGATGGCCTTAGATTTCTGATCCTCCTGCCTGCAGCTTCCAAGTGCTGGGATTACAGGCAAGCACCACCACACTCATTTTTATGCTGTTCCAGGGAATTAATCCAGAATTATATGCATGTTGTGCAATGTTGTGGAATATTATTTCAAGATGTGTTACATTTGATTATGCTTTGGAACATTTGTTTAACGATGTTGAATTCTTTTATGCTGCATTTGTTTAACTGTGAAACTGTGTAACTTTGCTTATCCAAAACACCTGATTGGTCTAATTAAGAGCTGAATGGCCAATAGCAAGGCAGGAGGGAGAAATAAGTCAGGCTGGCAGGGGAAGAGAATAAGAGAAGATTAGAGGAAGATCAAGGAATGAGAGAAGGAGAGAACAGAGAAGATGCCAACCACAGAGTGAAAGCAAGAATACAGAAGAAAAGGAAAAAGCCCAGAGGCTTTATGTGTGTGATTTATTTTAGGAGCTGGGTGGCTGGGTGGCCGGCCCCCAAAAGAGCAAAGAGTAAAAACAACCAACAATGCAAGTGCCTGAAGCCTTGGACACAATATAAAAGTTGTATCTGGGTAAGGAAATATCTTAGACCCATTCTGAGTAGACACCAAGGCAAGCTAGCTATCTATGCTTTCTTGGCTCCACAATGCTGGAGAGAGAACCCAGTGTCTCATGTGTCAAAGCATGAATTACTCTAGCTCTATGCTTTTAGGTTTGTTTTGTCCTTATTTCTGTCTGCGGGGAAGGGGGGAGAACCTGATGGAGGCCAGAGGAGAAAGAACTCATGTTTTCAGTATGAAATAAATCTGAAAACCTACATGACTATGCCTGGAGCTATGGATTAGTTGGCAACCTCATGATCCTTCCTTGGCTGCCATGGCCACACTTTTCTTGGCTCCTCTTTGGTCTTTTGAGAGTAGGTATCTTATGTCATTTATGTACATTTTTTTATGTATCTGTCCTGAGAAGTTGGTATTTCTGGATCTCTGAATTGGTGCAATGTCAGTTCTGGGAAATTCCTGGCAAACTTCATCTTTAATCTTTTTTCTCCAGAAACTGATTAAAGGAGAATCTGTGCAGAAATACACATAGCTCAATGGGAGAGTGCTTGCTGGGCCTGTGTAAAGACCTAAACAAAATACAAACAGCAGCTGGGCAGTGGTGGCGCACGCCTTTAATCCCAGCACTCGGGAGGCAGAGGCAGGCAGGGATCTCTGTGAGTTTGAGGCCGGGCTGGACCAACAGCCTCCGAAACAATACAGAGAAACCCTGTCTCGTAAAATCAAAAAAAAAAAAAAAAAAAAAACACAAACAGCAGGCGGATGTGCCCTCACACAGCCCCCCCTCCTTCTGCAAATCACCCATTTTCTGAGAAATCTTGGGCGGCCATTTGGTTTCCTGCAGTCTCTGGTTCCTTTTGTTTGTTTTTCTAAGACAGGGTCTCACTAAGTAGCTCTGGGTGTCTTTCACTCTGTAGACCAGGGTGACCTCAGAGAGATCCTCCCGCCTCTGCCTCCAGAGTGCTGGGAGGAAAGGCACAAGCCACCATGTCTACCCAGTGTCAGGTTTTTTTTTTAAACCTTGCCCAACCCCTGCAGCTTACTGTGCTTCTACAGTTTAACAGTGTCTTTCATCTATTTGGATGTTGTTTTTTCGCTTTTAATAGTTCTAAATTTCCCATATCCTCATTTTTATAGCAGTTTTTTTCCATTCTGGTTTCTATTCCCATTTTTTTTTATAAAAAAAAGACAGTCATTATGAAGAGATTTTGTGACATATGATTTCCTCATATGGTCAGGAGCATATCTTCTCACTCCAATTTTTTTGTTTGTCTGTTTTTGAGACAGTGTTTCTCTAGTTAACAGCCGAGCTCTTCTGGAACTAGCTCTTGTAGACCAGGCTGTCCTTGATCTCAGAGCTCCGCCTGCCTCTGCCTCCTGAATGCTGGGGTTAAAGGTGTGCACCACCATGCTTTCTCACTCCAATTTTAAGTGCCCCACAAACTAATCTTGGTTTCTGTCAAGAATGATAGAAGTTTTTTTTAAATTCAAGATAAAGTCCTGTTCTTTGAAGAGTATAAACTTAGATTCTACACATATGAAGCTGGATCTGGGAAGGCAAATCTTTAATTCCAGCTCCTGTAGAGGCTGAGACAAGAGATCTGCAAGTTCAAGGTCAGTGCCTAGGCAGCAGTTAAATGATACCTGTCTCAAAGACACCAGTTTAAAAAGGTCTGTGGACAAAACCCAACAGCAGAGCACTTGTGTAGCGCTTAACAGAAATCCCATGTAATTTCAAGTTCCCCACTCCCCAAGCACACACCAAAAGCAACCACCACACATGGACAGGCAGACAATGGAGGAATGCCTCAAGCCTATGAGTCCCCCAAGCACGGGGACACCGTG